AATTTACAACTATAACAAAAAATAATACATTGCATAATTTATAATGTAAATAAATTAATAAATAAAATATAAGACTTGATTATCATTGTAATTAGTTTAATTATTAATTATAATATTATAATAGACGTGATTCACAAAACAAGGGTATGACCCTCACAAATATATAAATCTAATGTATAATAATTAGTGTTGATAGAAATATAGAATCTAGTAATATAAATTTGCAATCATATTTTAATAAAATTAAGAAAATAAATAAAGAAATTCATCGTTGCAATGTGGGATAATTGATAAAGCAACTTGAAAGAAATTCTAAAGAGGTATGAGCTAGTGTTATTTTTCTCTCTTAAAATATCTCATAAACTAGTATTTTTTTAAAATGTTCAATAAACCAATATTAGTATTATTTTTTACTTTTTTTAATGCCCTATGAGCTAGTACTTTTTTTTTTTAATTCCAATTAGCTAATAGCCTAATACAATTACTCTTTTGTTTTTGGGATAAGTAAATTTAAATTTTTTTGGTTAAGGATAGAGGTGGTGGGGCCTTATCAACCAATTATTATTTTTAATAATTTTCCTCCTTTTTAAATTAATATTCCTAAATTTTTGTTAAAGACCATCATGTTATAAAAGAAATTAATACAATTGTGCCATTTATTTCTTGGTAAAGAGCTAGGTCCCAGCCTTTTAAACCTAGCCTTTAACGCTACTGATAAAGAGCCATAACTAATGCCATTTATTATATATGAGAGGAGAGAGAGAAAGAGCTAACGCTCCCAGCCTCCATAGGATCTAATGAATGGGACGAAATGTCCCACATCGAACATGTACAATGAGTTTGACATGTATAAAAGCCTCCTCCTTAGCATTACATGAGCACGCCAGAAAAGCATGAATGGTTGATAGGGGCTCGTGTTCTTGGGGGCCATGAATGACAAGATAGGGGTACGTGGCCCAGGCATGGCATGTAGGACAAGAAGCACTTACTCCAATTTTTAAAGAAATTACAAAAAGCCTTCCCTACTTGAAAAAATTACCAAAATGCCCTCCCGCTTTGAAAAAAAAGGTGTGATGGTCAGATCCCATTTTATGGCAGGATCCAGAACGGTCTAGCCGATACTTGATCGGGATCACCCGATTTCGGATCGGATCGCCGACTTTTTGAACACTGCAAAAAACAATCATACTATAAAACTTGGCATATTAAAAATGCAAAGAAAAAAGCTAAACAAATAGTAAGTAAGACTAAAGTTAAGGCATATGATAATCTATATAGTAAACTGGTAACAAGAAAAGATGAAAAATATGTCTTAAAATTAACAAAAATGGGAGAGAAAAAGTGTAGGGATCTAAACCATATTAAATGCATTAAGAGTGAGGATCAAAAGGTCTTGGTGAAGGATGAAGAAGTCAACGAAAGGTAGAGAGTTTATTTTAAATAATGATTAAATAATAAATACAATAGGAACATAACGGCATCAGAAGTGAAAGAAGCTTTGAAGAGGATGAAGATAAGAAAAGCTTTAGGACCATCCCACTGGAGGTTTGGAAGTGCATGGGGGAGATTGGTATTGATCGGCTAACCAAGTTGTTCAACAAGGTATTGAGAACAAAGAAAATGCCAGATGAATGGAGAAAAATATTGTGATACCTATTTACAAGAACAAAGAAGACTTATGCGAATTATCGAGAGATTAAACTTATTAGCCATAAGAAGTTGTGGGAGAGAGTAATTGAGAAGTATAGGGCCAAGGGAAAGACCTCCACATTGTCTTTATTGATATAGAGAAAGCTTATCATAGAGAACCTTGAGATTTGATTTAATGGGTGTTGAAAAAAAAAGAGTCTCCAGACACTACATCAACTTGGTGAGAAATATGTACGAGGGAGAGCTAACTAGTGTGCGGACAACTAGTGGAAAGACGATTGAGTTTTCAGTGACAATAGGTCTATATTAGGGATCGACATTGAGCTCATACCTCTTTGTTTTAGTTATGTACAACTTAACTAGGCACCTAAAAGATGAGATATTGTGGTGTAGTGTTGTTCATGGACGATATAGTTTTGATCGAACTTTGGAGGGATGCTCTAGAATCTAAAGGTTTTAAAATTAGCCAGACGAAGACAGAGTACATGGAATGCAAGTTTAGCAATAATAGGCATAGAGATGAGAAAGTAGTTTAAGAATGACAACCAAGAAATACCAAAAAGAGTATATTTTTTATATCTTGGGTCGATAATCTAGGAAAATGGAGAGATCATGGAAGATGTCGCACATAAGATTAGAGCTGAGTGGGAAGTGGAAATGTACAACCGGAGTTTATGTGATCGCCTCTTATCAATGAAACTAAAGGGCAAGTTCTATAGGATAGCTGTGAGACCAGCTTTGCTTTATAGGGCGGAATGTTAGGCAGTCTAGAAGCAACATACCCATAAAATGTGTACCTAAGATGAGGATGTTGAGATGGATGAGTGACAAGACAAAAAGGGATAGAATTCGAATTGAATACATTCGGGAGAATTTAGATGTGGCACCAATAAGCATTAAGATGAGGGAAAGCAGACTTAGGTAGGTTGGCCTTGGCCTTGGCCATATACTGTGCTGACCCAATACTGCAATTGTTAGGAGGTGTGAGTTAGATCAAGTGGAAAGCTCAAAAATGGAAAAAGGTAGACCCAAAAGGACATATGTGAAAGTAATGAGAAAAGATATAGGAACTTATGGCTCACTAAAGGTATGGCCCTTCATATAGCAGAATTGCGGACTAGGATTCATGTACCCAAACCCAATTAGTTGGGAAAAGGATCTGATGATGATGATGGTGATGACAGAAGTGGCATCCTCAAAGGCTCCCAACCTGAGTTGGGAGGTCAAATGATTTCTCATCTATAATATGTAGATGATTCAATCATTTTCTATGAACCAGATACTTAACAAATGGACTCCTTATGGCTGTCCTTGGAGTTTTTAAAAGTTGCCTCAATACTTCATACCAACATGCAAAAAACTACATAAACGAGTATTGGAGTGGATGAGAAGTATGAAATAGTCAGGACCTTTACTTCTCTTTCCATTCACCTATTAATAACCAACCTTTTCTAATATGTAGTTCTTTTCATCAACCTATTTAATCTAACCCATCTAGACTTTTTACTACCTGAGTTTAATAACTATAATTCCTAAGCCTTTCCTTTACTTTGATCTAAAAGTTCTCTTTCCTTAGTCATAGTCCAGCTGCCTAAACCTTACTTACCTCATATTTACCCCATTATTTACCTCCATAGTGTCCTCATCTAATCACAATGCATAAGGAGCTATCTAGAATGTGGAAGAGGTTCTCTACCAAAAAATTACTTAAGCCTGCCACTATGTGCTGTTAAACGGGGAAAGGTCATGCAAGACAGTGTCATTAAAAGATTTCAACAGAAACTAGCAACTTGGAAGACTAGTTGTCTATCACTAAGGGAAAGGACGACATTAGTTAAAGACACCCTATCAAACCTCCCAGTATACTGCATGTCCTTGTATAGAGTGCTCATGCCGATACTCAATATTAAACAAATTAGAGTGCCTTCAAAGAGATTTTTTATGGAGACGGTCATCTAAACACCATAAAAACCATAATCAGTATGTATACCAAGAACAGCAGCTGGTCTAGACATCAGAAAGCTTAAAGAATTCAAGTCAGCATCATTGGCCAAATGCTTAAGGAGATTTGCATAGACGGAAGGTCATTTACAGAAACAGCTTATAAAACACAAATATGAAGCATACCATTTTGGTGTGGTCGATCAAGAAACCAGCAGTAGGGAACTGGAGAATGGAGGTACATAACTTTGATGCAAGAAATATTTAGGTAGATATATCAGATTTAACCTGGAGATGGCACATCCATAAGCTTTTGGACTCACATTTGGTCCGATACCATCCCAGCACAGCGCTTTCCAAGCATAGCTTCTCTTGCTACCGAACCGAATGCTGTTCTTGGTGATATTCTTCAGATGTCAGAAGACAAGTGTGTATGGTATCCCATGTTTAGGAGAACATAAGATACAGATAGGTTAATGCAGTGCATAGCCTGATTAGTTGCTTGCAGGAGCATACCTCACCAGTAGGGGGATATAATAGCCTGTAACCCACACAGTAGGGGTGATTTCTTGGTGCACTCTATGTATCTCAGCCTAATTGATAACAGCCAAAAGAAGCGTCTTCACAATCTGGAAGTTGTTAGCCTCACCAAGAGCCCAGGCATTGGTCTGATTGCCAACACATAAGGTGCTCACTGTTAATCATCTACAATATTGAGGCCTGCAAATTCCAAACTAGTGTGTGATGTGGAAGCATGATGAGCCTGTTCTTACAGTACGAAGAAGCACTTAAGGTTTGGGGCATCCTGTTAAACCTATTCGGGCTCTCATGGGTGTACCCATCCTCAGTAGAAAGCCTATTTCAGCAATGGTTTTCACCTTCAATACCAAAAAGAGGCCCAATAACGTGAGGGCTAGGGGTGGCAGCAATATTGTGGTCTATTTGGAATAAAAAAAAACATTTGGATTTTTTCAGGGCTCCAATAACAATTCGGGCAAAGATAGAATTAAATCCAACATAATGGTTTACACACTAACCCAGAAAGAAGTTTAGGGGATTCTCTGGGATAGACCTGGATGGCCACTAGCAGCCAGTCACTTGGAGCACGAAATCTAGATGAAAAAGATCGTTGAGGTAGTTGCCCCCAACTGATGGAACTGGAAAGCTCTAAGGGCAACCCAGGTTCTGCAGGAGTTAGAGGAGTTTTCCTATAAAAAATGGGTAGCATAATTTTGACAAACTCAGGATTGGTGAGGGTATGTGACTCGAATGATGTAAGATCAGGTACTCCTCACAGGCATGGGACCAATTGCTGAAAAGTGGTCTTCAACAGCTATTAAAGCTATTGAAATTGATTAAAGAATGTAATTGCTTGGGCCAAAGGGGAATCCAAGTATCCTGGCGATTAACATTCAGTTTGAAAAAAAAATTGAGATATGTAGGTCGTGAAGTAGGATACTACTAGTGTTTGTGCATACTTTTCAAGAATCGTCCTCTGCCTGATGCTTTAGCTAGAAATGGTGTTCACAGGTCTGCTCATTTTTACCACAAGTTCAGCCTCAATGGATTGAATTCACAATATCGTAATTTGCAAACAGTTTAGCCGCTGTTATTACAGCAAATATGTAAATTCACATATTAAAGAAATAAAATTGTTATTGCTCAAAAAAAATTCAATAGAATCAAATAAGTTCATTCTGACTGTCTATATGAAACTGAAATATGAAGGCATTCGTAAAAGTGAACCATGACAACTAGAGTGAAATTAGGCAAAATATAAAAATAAATTAGCTTAATGCTTCTTCAGTTGCAATCAATAACACACGCAAAGAAAAATTTGAGAAGCTAAAGCCCAATAATAACAGGTAGATGAAGAAAGATACATTCACAGTGTGTCAAAAGTTACAGTAAGTGAGGAAACAAATATCATAATTCAAAAAGAATCCTAAGTTCACAGATTTGCTCAAATACGAGAGCGTAGTAATTTAGGGAAAAAAACACAATTTTCAAAAATTTTAATGCACTAGAAAGGAACAAAACTGAAATCCAACTGCTTGTTGTTATCAACGTAACCATTCCAGAGAAAATTAAATCCCAACGAATTATATAATACTAAACAGAAATATATCAAAGAAGGAATCAAGGAAAGAAAATGGGTACCTGAATTTTAATTGCAGCAAGAGTTTCTTGCTTAAGCCCTAGCCTCCGCTTCCTTTCTAGCCTGGTCTGTTCTAGAAGCTTCTGCCTATCTCTCTCCTTAGAGCTTCGACCCCCTAAGTCAACTCTTTTACGATTGGTTGAATCACCTGTGAAGAACATCTTCACAGGAGACAAACCAAAACGTAGGTCTGTGAGAATGGACTCGACCAGAAGCTATCAAACCCTAATCCTTCAAAATCAGTCAAAACAATGGAAAAATAAAAATAAATGTAGGGTTCTTGAGGCTGCAAAGAACTTAGGACGAACGGTGTCGGTGAAATCACGCTGTAAACAAAAAGCTTGAGAAATGTACAGAGACAACGAGAAATTGGATTTGGAGAGAGAGAATTCTGGGAGTGTTTCGGGAGTACAAATTGCAGAGAGACATTTCAGAAAGTTCCAGTGTTGATCAATGAATAAGAACTCTCTCCCTTCCTCAATGCTTTTGTGTCTGCTTTATAACACAATTTCACCGTTGGTAGGCATTTTACATTAAAAGAGATTAATAAACTCACACATAACGGAGCCACCTTCCCGTTCTCACATGGTTATGGCTCCCTTACTTTTTCCCCAAGTTGAAAAGATTCCTGCTTCTGCGGGAGTATGCTGTTTATTTGTTTCTCTTGTAAATCCAAAGTAGGGTATTTTAGGACTCCTAAGTTTTGAGATAAAATCTCCTAAATTTAACCTCAAAGTAAAAAGAAAGAAAAATAAAGTCAATTGAATTTTATTAGTGCCTCAAAGAATTAGTATCAAAATATTGTAGAGGGGAATGCCCAGTTTTTGATCCACTAGAAGAGTTAATATCTTTTTTTGAAATAATCATCTTACGATTATAGATTGGATCCTAAAATTTTAAGTTAAAATAGTTCTCTTTGGCACCTATTTGTACCGAGGGAGTAAGTGAACAATATGTTCTTGCAGGAGCAAAGCAAGAACGACCGTTCTGCACGTGCCATTAATCTCGAATTTAAAGTTTGAACTTTCCAAAATTTAAAAGAAGGGTGTGGTTTCTATAAGGTTGCAAGCTTAAACAATCTAATTAAGGCCACCTAATTTTATCATAACATGTGATTTTAGTATAAAAAATTCTTAGGATTATCTCAAAATCTATTTTTATATCTAATTATAAAATTTAAAACTACAAAAATGGTTAAAATCGAGTAGATCGATAAGCATATGAAAATTTTGAAAATGGACGGTCTAGATAATGTGTTGCAAGGTGCACTATTTTTGAGATTCAAAATATTTTTATTTTTTCATATTCATATATCTCGATGTTGAGATAATCAATTAGAGGTTTTTCAACATTAAAACAACTTTTTTGATGGATTTGTGAAGTGCATCTTTAATTCTACATTTTAAGGTTGCAACCTTATATAAACCTGTTCCTTAAAAGAAAATGTTACCATAGCTTAGTTTTGAG